TCACCCCTAACGTTTTCAGCTTTTAAACATGGAATTTCTGTTCCATTATCTAATATATTGAATCCAAACAATGGCTTAATCTTTCATTTACAATTTTTTGAAGCAATCAATTTAGTTCATAATTATAATCTGCATGTTAATGATGTTATTGAAAAGGTGACAAATACTCTTTCAGAAAATGAATTTGAATAAAATGATGATAAGAAACAGAAAAAAATTAAATTTTATTACAAGACAAATCAAACTCTTGTCTAAAAAAAGTTTCTCTATAGCTGATTATTGCTTTGCAATCGAGTCTTTTTATAACTGCAATTACGATCAACTTCGTGATATTTTAGTCCTTCCAAGTAAACGAAAGCTTCAGTCTATAATTTCTGCCACTAGCATTGACTGTGTTTTACAAAAAAAAATTGAAAATGTAAAGAATAATCAACAGAAAAATGTTATTTTGATAGTTGACGAGGTAAAAATTAGGCCAACAGTTTCTTATTCGTGTGGAGTTTTAAATGGCATGGCAAGAAATATTCCAAAATCCAAAGCAACCTCTGCGCTATCTATCATGATGAAATGCTTACATGGTGGACCTAGTTTAATGATTTCTGTTACCCCTGTTCACAAACTAACATCATTGTATCAGTTCATTGTTGTGAAAGAAGCTGCTATTATAGTTAAAAAACATGGTGCAATAGTTTTAGGTTCTGTAACTGATAATCATAAAATCAATCAGCAATACTGCAAAATTTTTAACAGAATAACTGACTATCAGGCCATTCATCCATTAGACAATCAGTGTGTTTGGTTCCTTTTATTTGACACAGTTCATCTACTTAAATGTATTTGCAATAACTGGATTTCTTAAAAGTGTCAAAAGGTATCTCTCGATAATAGAACCATAGCTTTATTTTCAGATGTGAAAAGTCTATATCAGTACAAGAAAGAGAACATTTTTAAAACAGTTCCTTTATCATATGCTGCTGTCTATCCTTCAAGACTTCAATTACATAATGTGCAGCATGTTTTAAAAGTATTTAATGAGAAAGTAGTAGCTTCCCTTAAACTGATAGGAGCTTATGAAACATCCTCTTTTATCCAGCGGATTTTAGATTGGTGGAATATTGTTAATGTTTCTGTAAAAGGGCAGGATATTAGGTTGAGAGATCACAACCGATCTGTGCAAGATAAAAATTCAAATAATCTTCAATTTTTTTTAGACATATTTAAAAGTATGGAATCAGGACATGGGCCTAAACGAGTTCAGTGTGTTACCCATGATACCAAATAAGCCCTTGTGCAAACTACTGAAGGATTGATAGCTGTCTGGAAACATTTGTTTTCAGTTGGTTTTGTTTATATTTTGCTTCGTGAGCTACAAAGTGATAGAATAGAAGGAGAATCTGTTTATAGACAATCAACAGGGGCAAATGCTTTTATGGCAGCTGGGGATGTTTTCTCTGCTTTTAAAAAGCGTTTAGCTAGATTTGCTGCATCATTTTTAGAATCAGTGGAAGTAGGACAACCTAATAAAAAAGGTCACATATGTGAGGATCCAATTAATATTGAAGATGCAACCTCAATTGGAACATGCATTTAAGATGTGTGTCTTTCTGAAACTGAAGAGAGCTCTGCTGCATATGTAGCAGGATGGCATGAGAAAAAATGTGAAGATGAACTAGTTTATCTGGATGATGAACCTAAACTAACAAATGAAGCTCAAGACTTTATAGAAAAAGTTTCAAGGGGATATTTGACAGTTCCACATGAGTCTACTTATCAGCTAGTTAGAGTTGGTTTATGCTTTGTGAAAAAAAAAAAGCACAGAGCATGTTGTAGAAAAAGACTTATAAACATTCAATCTATAATGGACACATATTATGATTTTGGTTTATCATCAAAAAGTTTTTTTATGCGTTTTGCAAATGTTCTTCTGCATGAAATTCAGAATTTGGATAAAGACCAAGCAAAAAATGCATGTCTTTATCAGATTCTTTATCAAATTCTTTTCTTATATGAAAGATTATTGATAGGGCAGAACCTTTTAAACCTGGAAGAAAGTCATTTAACCTTTGTTTAACGGAAAAATATCATATCATTACCTCATCTTTGAAACTATTGAATTAATGAAATAAATTAATATCGAAATGTCGCCAGGAAAACAAATTTGTTATCTGCAACTTTAACGTCATTTAAGCTAACACTGTATTTCATTTTTGTATATAATTTTTGTTGTTGTTATGGTTGTTTGTAATGCCTGATGATTACGTGAAACTCTAAGTAATGTTACAAATTTAATTGTACTTAATTATTTATATAATATAATATAACATAATATAATATAATATAATATATATATATATATATATATATATATATATATATATATATATATATATATATATATATATATATATATATATATATATATATATATATATATATATATATAAAACATGACTACAATATTTAAAAACATTGAACATAAAGAACCATTATTACCACCAAATATTTTTTCTATTTATTAAAAATACTTTAAATTTAATTTACTTGGCTTGTCATGGTAAATCACATCCCTTTACCAAAACTGTTCCTTTGTATTCAAAAAACTTTTGTTCATCTAATCTATTTTCTTTGAACATCATAGCTTTAAAATTTGATCTTAATTGCAGTTTGCGATCACTTAATTTTAGTCTTTGGATATGTTCCAACCAAAGATAACTGCAGCACTGATATTACAAAATTATACTTACAGTATCCAAGCTAAATGAACAGATGATTAAAAGGATCAGAATTTTTGACTGATCAAATAACCACAAAAAATGCTATAGAAAATGGCGACATCAATGTAGGTAGTAACAATGTTAGTATTTGTAAAAGATAGATGTAGGTGATTGAGCTTTGTAACCTCAAAGATTTTCAAGTTGGATTCTCTTATAAAGATTCTCTTATGTCTTATATGACATAGATAGGAATAGTGATCGATGCTTAAAATACATAGATATTTGTCATGCAATAATAGATTTTCTATTATACTCCCATGGAAAAATTGGATAGCAAAAATTATTTTAAAGAAATATTATGAAGGCGTGTGTGGAACTAATAATGTGAAGATGAAAGGCATGTGTGTGGAACTATTAGCATGAAGAGGGAAGACATGTATGTGAATTTAATCAGATCTTGACAACATCAAGATTAGGATGAGAAATTCAAGTATGTGAATTTAATCAGATCTTGACAACATCAAGAGAAGAAGCATGCAAATGGGAAACTCAAAGCCATAGCTGTCGAAGGCAAAAAGCCTAAACTGGGATACAGATCATGACACCAAAGATTAGACTAAAGGTATCTTGACATTTTTGAAAACATTAATTTTTGTAGTTTATTTATTTATTCTTGTTTACCTGCCTTACTTCTTGGAAATTGCATTTGGATCAGACGCAAATTCATTTCCTAACACATTTTATTGAATAAAAAATTATTGTGGCATTTCAAAGGAAATGATTTAAGTAATAATTTTGTTGTTTTTTGCAAATTGAGAGCATTATGTACTTGCAGACAGCTTGAGTTTTGTAAAAGTAAAACAGCCAACAACTAATGGCAGTGTTAAATGGAATTACAGCATTTTAAACACTCCGGTCAAAATCAATGAAAAAATGATTAAATCAGCGAAATGAAATAAGATCAATTGTCTTTCTTCGAGAGTCGTGTGTCTCCCCATTTTAACTTTAGTATTTTTAAGCACACACATTAATTAACAAACAAATTAATAATTAACAATATTAATAATAATTTGACAGATGGCATACTAAAACAAAAGAATGTAGTTGTGGTTAGTTACTTTTGATTTTTGAGAGATATAGCAATAAATATAGTTGCATCATTTTCACTGTGACTTGTTTTTTACGATAAATTATATGTTTTGTATAAAGATGTTCAAAATACAAATGTTTAATATAAAGACATAATCTTGTATACATATAACAATGTATACTTTACATGAAATAATATTTTCAACAATTATGTTAAAATAATGTTGAATCACAAATCTGTGTGTATATATATATATATATATATATATATATATATATATATATATATATATATATATATATATATATATATATATATATATATATATATATATATATATATATATATATATATATATATATATATATATATATATATATATATATATATATATATATATATATATATATATATATATATTAACCTGTGTGTATTTTGCGTAAGTGATAGATTAGTAATCTTTATTTTATTGTAGGGAATGGTTGACGAACTTTGCAGCGGCAACTGCGTAGCTATTGAGATAACGAAAGATGAAAATACCCCTACTAAGTTCAGAGAATTCGTTGGACCTTCAGATCCAGTATTGTGCCATATATATATATATATATATATATATATATATATATATATATATATATATATATATATATATATATATATATATATATATATATATATATATATATATATATATATATATATATACAGTTGACTATGTATTTTTTTTTATTTGTTAATTGCATTATTAAATGTACTTAATTTAATATTAAATATTTTTCAAATGTTGATGTTTTTATATCGTTTTATATTTTGTTAAGTTTCTACTTTTAGGAAATCGCTCGTCATTTGCGTCCCCATACTCTTCGAGCTCAATTCGGAGTTGATAAAGTTAAAAATGCGGTGCATTGTACAGACTTGCCCGATGATGGTATTTTAGAAGTAAGATTTTTTTAATGGTATTTAATAAAAGTTAAAAAAAAATTATTATATTCATTCCTTTTTTTTTGGCTTGAAATTTTATTTTTTTATTTTTTTAGGTTGAGTACTTCTTTCGCATTTTAAACTCATAGTCAGAATATCCGATATATATACGAATTAACCGATGTTTCACAGTGATAAACTGTTTTCGAATCCACTTGATAACCTTTAAATGTTATACAGAACTTATAATTTATTATTAACTATTTATTTTATAATTGTTTTTGTTGTTTTGTTTTGTTTTTTTTTTACTTTTAAATTTTTTTGTTTTTTTAATCTCAACAATTGCACAAATTATTTTGTTAATAAGTTTTGAAATTAAACTAGAATGTATTAACGCCACTAACGCCCACTAACAAAATTTGGTCAATGATAACACAATACCAGGCTTCAATTAATTATAGAAATTGAGATGGTGAAAGAAAGTTAGTAACTGATCTTAAAACGAGAATGTAAACTTCAATAAATATTACCGTGTTAAGTAAAGTATAAATTGCAACAATCTTAACGTTTTATGCTTATTGATGACTTGGCTATGTCTGCGTAGTTTTTAAAAAAATATTTAAAGCAAGTAACAATTTTAAAACATGAGGTTTTAATTTCACTTGAAGACTAGTTTCCACTTGCTTTTATTTCTACATACGAGCAACTTATATTGTGTATACATAATTATATATAGTTATATATACATAATTATATTAATATACATATTTGTCATAATGGTTATAATTAAGGTATACTTCCCTAAAAATTTGACAGCGCCAAAATAAAAATATCACTTTTTAAACATAAAATAGTCAATAATTTTCAATCAATTTGAAAGATTTTAATTGTAGCAAATTGTACTTAATAAACAAAACTTAGGAGAAATAGACGAGGAAATCTGACTCTTCCATTGTCACCAAATCTATTCATCAGGGGTTAAATAGACGTACAAGTTTGACTTTTGCTACTAAACCTGCGGATAAATATTGGCGAGCAATCAAAGACAGTGTTTGAAATTTTTTATTTTCTCTCCATTATTGTAAGGAATTCATTAAGACTTCTATTCGATAAATTACTATATTATAATAATATATATAAATATTAATGGTTGATAGATTCCATCCGTACATCCTCTCGGAATCCACACAATCCTTGCCGATCCACGTTATCCTTATTTCGTTGATATACAAAAAATATTTTACTGCCGTTGCTGATCTTACTTGCTGAAAGCAAGCTAACGTAACATCTATTTTATGAAAGGTAGCAGGACAAACCGAGCAAACTACTATCCTATCTCACTCACTTCTGTTCCTTGCAAGATAATGGAATGCTTAATTCGAGACTATATGCTCAAACAAATGATTGACCACAGCCTGCTTTACATCAATCAATAAGGATTTGTACCAGGAAAATCGTGGATGACAAACTTGATTGAAACCATTGATATTATCTCCATAGCGCTTGAATCTTGTCTAGGTATCATGATTCTTCTTGATTTTGATAAAGCTTTTGATAATGTTAATCAAAGACTTCTAATTGTTAAATTACACGCATTTGGCTTTGACACAAGTACCTGTGGATGGACAGAGGCCTTCCTAACTGGCTGCAGTAATAAAGATATACAAGGTGGAGTACTTCTCTGAGTGGTTGGAGGTCCTCAGTGGAATTCATTCTAATTTTTATTATCTTTACTATCTATTTTAAATTTTTGTGATCTTTATTAACGATTTGCCAGGCCTCACTCGTCACGTTTGGAAGCTATTTGCAGAAAACGCGAAACTAATAGCGGTTATAAAAAATACCTCCAATTATCAAACTCTCCAAGATGACAATAACTGCCTCGTCAAATTGGCCCACACCTAGAACTTTAGTTTTAACATAAACAAGTGCAAAGCTATGTTTTTTGACAAATGAAACAACAACCTTTGTAAAACTACTTTTACAAAGGTTGTTGTTTCATTTGTCAAAAAGGTTATGTGGCAACCTACTGGGTTCGCACATAATCTTTACTATGACCGACCACTTTGGTAACAACCACAGCCTCGGTGAGACCAGCTCTGAGTGAGACCTCGGCTTAATTGTCAACAACCAACTTAAGTAGCGGGATCGAGTTGCAAATATAGCGCTAGGAATATTAAAAAAAACCTTCCACTGTTGGGATATTAATAGATTTTGTATATTTTATACAACTTATGTACGACCACATCTTGAGTTCTGTTCTTACGTATAGAATCTTATTATCGCCAAGAAATTGACGCTCTCAATACAGTGCAAGAAAGAGCCTCTAAGCTCGTGCGCTAAGCTCTTGCATGTAAGGCCCTTAAAGTATCGTCAAAGATTAAACGCTATAAATATTCAATCTCTAGAGGATAGACCGGGTAGAGGTGATCTAATCCAATACTTCGACAATTTGAGCTGCTGAGAACAAACCAGTTAGCTGATTCCATCAACAGCTATAAACTATTAGAGTGTTTACAGAGCCATGTTGCGTATGGATGGTGTCCCTGATAATGCTTTTGGAGTGCCTTGTCGAGGCTACATATTGAGCGATAAGTTACAACTTTGGCTTATTTAGCAGGACTGAGACAACTACTAATACTTACGCATAAATTCACCCTAATGTTGAGAGTATGGCTACAAGAAAAAATTAAAAAAAAAATTTCATTACAAATAGTTCTACCTTATACTTGGGAGAGGTAATTAGTTTAGTCTCATGAATTAGAGATGGAGTGTTAGACTTACCTTTGTTAATAACGCTGTTAAAGATTTTCCAAAAGTCTTAATATATATGATATAAAAAATGAGGTTTATAAAAATGGGAATAGCAGAGCCTAGCATAAGGCAGCACCTTTTTACATAAAATTAATATAATTAGATACAGCATTTGCAGAAGAAGGTAGAAACCATGTTGTAGAATGAGGCTTGACTTAGAACCAAGGAAACAGAATAAAAGCTTCCATACCTTTTCTGATTGAGGAAGTTACTTAGAAGGCAGATTTATCAGTGTGAGTCCAAAAAAGCAGTACTAGAGGAACCATCAAATCAAGAATAGGAGAAACTCGAGAACACAATCGAGAGAAACAATCAAGACTTAGAAACTCAAGAATTAGAAACTCGACAAACAATCGAGAACTAAAGTTAGGATTAGAGACAAGACATAAATCAAGGAGTTATGGTAAGTGATTAGAGTTGTCAGGAAAACGAGTCACAAAATTGATTAGCAGAGTAAGAGATTAAAGAACACTGAAGTCATTGGCTTTGGTGCTAGCAGGGTCAGTAAATTTAGAGTTGAGCCATTTGGTGTGATGAACATCAAAGTTACCAATAATGATAATATTGGCAGAGGGGTAAAGAGAGAGAGCCTGGGCCTAGTCAATTTGATCAGAAACTACATCTTAAAAAATACAATCTTAAGAAGAAGGAGAACAAATGGAAAGGTGATAAAGTGCAGAGGTATGCTAAGCGTGAGCACATAAAAGAATAGTCAGTGAATTCAATTCTAATTTCTTAACAAAAAGATGTTATTTCTGATCAAATTAACCAAGGCCTCTCTCTTTATCCATCAGCCAATATTGTTGTTGTTGGTGACTTTAATGCTCATTGCACTGAATAGCTTGGCTCTAGTCTCAGTGACTCTGCAGGCATTAAAGCCCGCGATTTTTGCCTTTCTCAATCTTTCCGGACTACCCGAATCATTTACTTTCTCTACTCAACTTATGTCTTGTTTCTGATCCTAGTCAGTGTTTAGTTTCTCCAAATTCACCCATAGGTGCTTCAGATCACGGTTTGATCTCTCTAAAACTATTATTTCATTCTTCTTCATCATCTGAATCCCCCTATCATTGCACCTCGTACAACTACCTTAAAGCTGACTGGGACTCTTTCCGTGATGACCCTTGGTGATGGCCCTTGGGAAATCTTTCGTCTTCCTGGTGATAAATGCTTCTTTCATAATTTCGTGGATTCAGGGAGATATGGAATCTTTTATTCCCTCTCGATGATTTCAAATCAAGCCTCACTCTTCTCCATCGTTTTCCTCAAATTGTGCAGCTGCAATTTCCAATCGAAACGGTTACTTCCATATTTATGACAAAACAATTCTTCAGAAAACAGACTTTTTTTTGTTAATGCTAGAAACCATTGTAAAAAGGTTTTGTCTAACGCTAAAATCCGCTATTCTCATGTCATGAAATTTTGTATTTCACCTAAAAAGCTAGGCTCTCGTGATTTATGGAGAATCTTTAATAGTTTAAATAATAAGAGCAAATCTGTTATTCCACCTCTTTTTTATGGTTCAGACTTTGTCACCTCACCTAAAGACAAAGATGAATTGTTTACTAAGAATTTTTGCGTTCTGCCTGATTTAGCTGTCAAACAGGTTGATCCATTACTTGACATTCGTATCACTCTAGCTACTGTATTTAAAGTGATTTCCTGCATAGACTCTTCTACAGCTTGTGGTCCGGACAACATACCTGATATAGTCTTGCAGAAGTGTTCTCCGAATCTGTAATCTATACTTTCAAAACTATTTAACAATTGCTAATCAGAGTCTTGTTTTCCAGACTGCTGCAAAGCGGCATCTGCTATCCCTATTTTCAAAAATTTTGGAGAGTGATATAACTCATCTAACTACCGTCCCATAAGTCCTCCTATCATAAGCAAGGTTTTTTAACAAACATAAGGAATCTTTAATTAACACTTAATCTCTCATCTTGAATCTAATAACATACTTTCTGGTCATCAATATGGATTTTAATCTTCTCGTTCTACAGCTGATTTGCTAACTATAATAACCGATAGGTTTTATCTCGCATAAGATAAAGGTGGAGAGAGGTTAAGGTCATCGCTCTTGACATTTTTAAAGCTTTTGATTAAGTTTAACATGCTGGACTTCTCCATAAGCTTACTTCTTAAGGTTTATCAGGTAACATCTTTAAGATTATTGAATCCTTCCTTTCCAATCGTAGTATAAAAGTTGTCTTCGATGGACAGCACTCCTCTTCATACTCTGTAGCTTCAGAGGTTCCTCAAGGTTCAATCCTTGGCTTTAGACTCTTTTTAATTTATATTAACAATCTTCTAGATATTCTCACATCTAAAATGGCATTGTTTGGTGATGATACTACAATTTATTCTTGTCATTATAAGAAGCCAACACTATTTGATTGTTTGGAGGAAACGTTTGAGCTTGAAAAGGATCTCACTTCTGCAACAACTTGGGGATCACAGT